AAGAAACAAATTCACACACAAGCTAAATATCATCAGGAGATGAATTCAGAACTGTCTATGCCCTCCAGGGTGCTGAGCTCAAGGGAGGAGAATGTGTCCTTGCCCAAGGACTATATTTTTATATTATTAAAAAAAGTAAATAGTCCCGCTGTGATACACTTCATTCTCTGAGGAGAGGAACACATTTATCTATATCTCATCACTCCCCTCTTTCACTCTCAACTTGACACTTAAATCAATGCATAAGCTGAACATGCTCTTGTGATCAAATATTAAGTTGGGAGGAGAATTGTATGTTTAAAAAAGTCTCAGATAAAGAAGGTATGTATTCATAATTTTTTAAAATTTTAGCTAAAAGATGACTAATGTGTAATTCTTTGAATTGTAGCATATAAAGCATTTTTATTAATGAAACCATTAAATATTTTAAGAGCAGACAGAAAAACAAAATAATCCAGGTGAATAAAGAAAATTCTGGAAATAACATAATATGCTATAAATAAGAACATATTATAGAGAACCTCTTCAAAAAATCATGCATTTATTTCACAAAATGAGAGATTAACACAATCAAATAATTTCTCCAGAAGTTTTCATTCATTTATTGTTTCCATAAAGACTATTTGGACCAACTATGTGCAATTTATGTGTTATATAAAAAGGAATCAAAATAATAAATTGAAATTCTGCCCTCAAGATATCACTGGCAACAATGAAGCAGACAAGAAAAGAAAATAAGTTATATTTTACTGCTTGCTATGAAAGGGATATTGCCGAGTAATTAGAGGAACGAGAAGAATGGTATAACTGATTCTGTCTGCTGCAGAGGGAGCCATCTTTGAAAGGGTGCTTCTTACCTTTAGGGACATATACATGTAATGTTTCTTCTCAGTACAGGCTTTATCCTGACATACCTGAGGTTGGGCAAAAGGTATGCAAGGAAGTTAAATAAATTATATAGGGAACGGAAGAAGATGAATTCATAGGGTTAATTAGGTTCCAGATGAGGCTGGAATTCAGCAAATTAGTAGAACCAAACGCACTGTATTTTCATCACCAGCATGACTCAGGTATCTTAGTATAGAGACAACAAAGTGAATATGAGGTTGATGTTAGAGTAAGACTTTGGAGGAAGAAGGGATGGGGGATTAGAGGGAGGAATGGACATTGGCTGAATTGGAAATGAAAAGAAGAAGCCAGTCTGATAGATTTTGAGTAATGTGAGTAGAGTTCACGAAAAGGTTGAAGATAAGTAAAGGGAGATGAGAAAATAAGAGCTAGATGTATAAGAAACTAGAGTAAGAGAGATGTTCATATTGAAGTTTTGGAAGATGAGGAAATTATAAATGATATAAAAAATATACCTAATAAAAAATAAATAAATAAACTCATGGCCCTGGCATATGTTCCTGAAATGAAACCTACGTACAGGTCATTGGAATTGAGATCAAGGAATGTCCTGAGAGACAGTGATTTTGTCTGAACTTTGTATGTATATAAATTGTTGATAGAAGTGGGGATAAAGAAAAAATCTCCGAACCAGGTGGCAATGTCTTTAATAAATGAATAAGATTCTCCTGACTTTTGGTAAATGGCAGAGTTGATGGAAAGAATCAGGAGGGAATATAATATCATGAACAGTAAAAGAAGAATTCATTCCCGGAAAAGTGAGGTCATCATAGTCAGGAAGCTGCTATGGAAAAGTGTTTTCTTATTCTTACCCTTTCATTCACAGCCCAGTGACAAAAAATTAGGATTTTGATCTGGTTATTTTATAACTTCAAGAGTGACAATAGATTAACACAAAGTAAAGTGTAAAGTGCAGTTTACCAAGCTTTCTTTTGAGAAAATTGCATCTACTTAAATAACAATGGGACAACTAAATGATTTAGTAATAATGAAAAAAAAAGGAGATGGCATACATTAGAAATAGTAAAATTTTATAGTGTCTATGATAATTTGAAAATCTGATTACTATATTAAAGGGGTGGTTAATAGTTAAACATATTGTTACTTGCTGTGGAGTTAATTTCAACTTATGGCAACCCCATGTGTACAAAGTAGAACTGCTCCATAGGGTTTTCAATGGTGTGACCTTTCAGAAGCAGATGCTAGGCCTATTGGTGGGTTTGAACTGTCAACCTTTCGGTTAAATCGTCCAGGTTTAGCCATTTGCACCACTCAGTTAAGCACATCTATGTCAAATAATGAAGAATCAACATGAAGCAAAAGACATGGGATTTCATTCGTTGTCCCACAATGACTTTCCTAGACACCTTTTTGCTTGAGAGTCCAGTGAAGGGTTTCCAAAAAGCAAGACACTCAATAAAGGTTCTAATAGGTATGGGAGATTACTGCTACCTTCTCTAGAGAAAGCAGCACATGTGAGCTGCTACGAGGAAGGGACATGGAAACCCAGTTCACAGCACTGGGCTCTAAACGACTTCTAGGCTAGCCAGAGACTGCATCAAGTGGTCAACAGGAGACCAAAGGATAAATATTTAACCCCGGGAAGAGGATACTTGGGAATATCAGTATAAAATTGTATTCTTACAAGAGGAAATAAGGAAATCTGTCATTGGGGGTATAACTTTCAGATTGGGAAGAAGATTATTCATTAAAAATACATATTTCGAGTGGTTCAAAGTAAATGTTATGATTTCTAAAGTAAATAAATTTAATTAATATGATCAAATATTAACTGTATGATTACTGTGGACAAAACAATATAATTGGCAAAATAAAAAAGTCCTTATTCAAAAAATGTACATTTAGATTTGGAAAAAGAAAGCATTCTTTTTTGAAAGTAATTGAGATTGGTCTGACCAGCCTATCTGTGTGAATATGCAAACACTGTATCAAAATAGGAGCCCTGGTGGTGCAATGTCTAAGTGCCCCACTGCCAACATAAAGGTCAATGTTTTGAACCCATTCAGCAGCTCCACAGGATAAAAGACCTGACAATCTGCTACAGTCTAGGAAACCTTACGGGCTGGTTCTACTCTGTTTTATAGGGTTGCTAAGAGTCGGAATTGACTCAACAGCACACAACAACAACCTATCATAAAAGATGCGTTTGGAAAGCTTTCAAGCAAGCAGGGTCTGAATGGTGCTTTTTTACATACACACAAACACACACACATACACACATCCTCAAGAATGAGATGGTCTCTATAAAGTAATATTTTGTTCTTCTAGAATTGTTGGGAAGATGGAAAGGGGAAATCTAACAGTTATCGGTGAAATTTGTCCTTCTGGGACTTTCCAGTTCTGTAGAGCAGCAACACCTCTTGTCTGTACTCTTCCTCTGTATGTACTTAGTCACTGTGTCAGGGAACATCCTCATCATCTTGGCCATTGGCTCTGACTCTCGCCTGCATTCCCCTATGTATTTCTTTCTTAGCAACTTGACCTTTGTTGACATCTGTTTTACTTCCACTGTAATCCCCCGAATGGTAGTGAACAGCTTGACTGGTACATGGACTATCTCCTTTTCAGGCTGCCTCACTCAACTTTTTTCTTCATTTCTTTAGTGAATATGAACAGCCTCCTTCTCTGTGTGATGGCATATGATAGGTATGTGGCAATATGCCACCCTGTACATTATACCACCCTAATGAATCCTCGGCTCTGTGTCCACTTGGTGGCTGGACCCTGGGTAGTTACCTATCTTCATGCCCTTCTACACACTGGACTAATGGCACGTCTGTCCTTCCGTGCATCCAACATCATCCATCATTTTTTCTGTGATCTCAACCCACTCCTGCAGCTCTCTTGCTTTGATGTCTCCGTCAATGTGATGGCCATTTTTACAGTGGGAAGTCTATTGGCTCTCATACCCCTTGTCTGCATCCTCATATCTTATGGATTTATCTTCTCCACCATCCTGAAGATAACTTCTACTCAAGGGAAACAGAGAGCCTTTTCCACCTGTGGCTGCCACCTGTCAGTGGTGGTGGTGTTCTATGGCACAGCCAGTGCTGTTTACTTCAGCCCGGCCTCCTCTCATACCCCTGAGAGAGACACTCTGTCAGCCATCATGTATACCGTGGTGACTCCAGTGCTGAACCCTTTCATCTATAGTCTAAGGAATAAGGATATGAAGAGAGCACTACAGAAAACATTTTGTAAGGGCAGAGTCTTTTACCAAAAATCATGAACTCCCCAGTTGTATTAAATATATTTGTTCGGTGATAAAATAAAATGTATTCCTAGGGGAAATAAGAGCAGTCAACTGTTATTAAATGTCTCTTTTATGCTGAAATCTGTGTTAACCACTTTATCTCGATACAACATTTAATCCTTTGATTAAATACATGAGATTTAGGACCTATTTTTCAAATAAGGAAAGTGAATCAGAGAAGTTCCATAGTGTGCATTCCGCCCACAGACTGTAAAGGAAGAGTCTCTGATTTAGTATATATATGTGCTCTAGTGATGAGATGTAAGTCTCTGTGACTTTTCTAGATATTAAGATAAATTGTGATGAAATTAATATTTATGAGTTCAGATTTGTAAATAGACACGAACACCAGTGCTAGCTCTCCAACTTAGTGAGTACTGAAGTCATATCATTTTTAATACTACATTCCCTTAAAAATTATCAAAGAATTTATTTGTTTTAAAGAATGCATGCTTTCCTCCAACCCCTTCTCCCTAGGAACATAGCCAATGATTTTATTCTCTTGACCCAAATCCTTGTCATACTTGATTGATCTCAAAATCTCTTTCCCAGCTGCTGCCACAGGGCAGATGCAAGCTGATCCCCTTCAAAGTGCATTTCGTGTTTGGAGAAACTTTGCTTTTGATTTTTCAAAGTTGTAAGGGTATTTTCCTTTTGTTTTGGTCAAGTATGTGCCTTCAATCTGTAGAAACCCTCAAATTCCTTCAAGAGGAAGGCACACTTCTAGACGGGTGTGTTTTATTTTATCCTATGCCCCGCAAAAAACAGTCATACACAGTATGCCAGCATTATTACATTGGGGGAGATTTTGCAGTCTAATAAACTGCATGTTGGGTATTGGCAGTCAGATCCAATATCTTTGTATGTTCAACCCACCTCAGTTCCCTTTTACATTCTCACATCCAAGTACGAGTTACCGTCATGCTTGCCTGATCTTTTTCAGCCTTAAAAAATCTCAGCTCTAGGATCCTTGTAAAAAATGGCTTGAGGGAACACATATGCACATATGCCCTTTAAACACACGACACACACACCTTCTCAAAGAAAAGCAAATACTTTCAAGCCTACCAAAACTTAAATCAATTCAGGAAAGAATAAAATAATGTGCCTTCCAAAAATGCAACATAGCTTGTAAAAATGTTTTATCTCTTCTAACTTATTTACAAGGAGTCCCTGGGTGGTGCAACAGTTAAGCGCTCAACTGCTAGCCAAAAGGTTGGCAGTTTGAACCCACCCAGGGATATCTTGGAAGACAGACCTGGCTATCTGCTTCCGAAAGGTCACAGCCTTGAAAACCCTATGGGCATTTCGACTTTGTACACATGGAGTTGTCATAAGTAGGGATTGACTCCACAGCAACTAGTGACAATAACATATGTATCTAATTTACAATGTCTAATAAGGAACACAGATT